TGTTAGAAAAAAAAGCGTTAATTTTTCAATTTTTATTTCGCTAATTTCGGTCGTCCGAACGGTGGAATTTCACTTATCCGAAAGGTGGAATTTGGCTTATCCGAACGTGGAGAGCCTGAATTCCTTTAAACTTACTTGAACTGATACAGATGAGTATTGCTGAGAAAAATATGAAAGTAAAACTGAGAGAAAAATTGTCTGAAATTTTGCGATCCCTCATCTCTTATTATTAAATAATAGTTTTCTTAGACCCTCGAAATTTCTCCTAGCCTTTATTTTTATAATCGCATGTCTCAATACCTTGCCTCAGACTCTTATAATCTAGATTTGTTCCTATTTAATCTGCTTCAATCTATGCGCATGAACGAAAAATATTGCTTGTGAATTGCGAAATTTGATTTGTGAACGAAAAATATTGCGAAAAATATTGCTTGTGTATTACCCATAAATATAGCATCTAAACTCAAGGAATCGGGACTTTAATTAAAACAAATTAACAATTATTCATCAGTTAAAAAAAGAGATGAAACTACACAATTGTTAGCTACGCATTATAATGTGGAAAAAACAACTGTTACGCGTATTTTTTATGGGTCTTAAGAGTTTTTTGCTGAAAAATATTATTATGCCAAAAAATAAAGCGCTTAATCCTCGAGATTTTATTTATGTTTAGTGAAATTAATAACATTGCTTTCGAAAATAAATCTTTTATACTTGAAACATTAATTTATTCTTAAATATGAAAATTAACTATCTGAGGTCCGACAGATCCCTTTTAGTTTGAATAATCAAGGTTCTTTTGTAATTTATTCCTTTTATTCTTTTATGTGCTGAGTCGGACTAGCATAATAAACAAGAGTTTCTCAAAAGTATTTGTGCGGTTACGTAATAAGGAAGATTAAATATTCTTCGTTGTTTCAATGTTTACCTGTGCCATACTTTTAGCCTTACTCAAAGCAGTACATTATTGAAGTACATTTTGACAGCTATATAGCTTGAAAAGGACATTTTTTTACCTTCAGAGATGATACAGAGCTCTCCGTCTCATCAAGTCAGACATAATCAATTTTAACGTTAAGAAGTCTTATCATATACCAATAAACGTTTCGAGAAACAAGTCATCAGTTACGTAACCCTGATAAAGACGTCGTCTTATGATTCAAAACGAGCCATATTTTTGCTAATGCATTTAAAAGCTTTTTTGATTTTATCTAAAATTCATGCATGTCTGCCCAAAGCCTTTTATTTCACAATCAGATTTCAATTAAGCTATCACCAATTAAAATTCATGTCTTATATTAATTGAGAATTTGTCATATATTATGATTTTTGTCATGACAATCAATTTGTAAGATCAGGCCAGATACCTGTATTTGCTAGACGTACATTTACATTTCTAAACAGAGGGATTGCTGTAAAGACATCCGACCCTCAATTAAATAGATCCTAAGAATATTGAGGTGTTAAGAAAAAAGTAATTTATCTGCATTTTCTCCCTTTTGCCATGTACCTGCAAAGCGAAATTTCAGAGTCCGAGTTCCTCTTGAAGCAAGCTTGCTTTTGGAATTTTTGCTCTTATGTTTTGAAAAACTTTAATATTTACAAATTAGTATTATATAATTTGTGACAGTAGTTTTTAACCAAGACTTTTAACCAAACATTTAAGATTAAAGGAATTTCAAATGATTGGCACAATGTACTCGTTACTTGTCCACGCAACAAAAATACATAAAAAGTTTTTAAAAATGACACAATTTTTTATATATAGTTATAACCTAAGAAATAATTCTTACGGAACAAAATTTTAACTCCAGTCAATTACAAGGTTATAATGCTGTTTTCCTATACTATTGTTTTTTTTGCAGTGCATCATTTCGTTAACCTTTGCAAAAAACATTCTTATAAATCTAAATAACTAAATTTTATTTGCTAAGTAACTTTCTTCCTCTATGCTAGTTACTGACATCACTTTTCTAAAGAAATCAGGTAAACATAGATGTGATTGTGTCGCTCCAGATAAAAGCTCCTTAGGTCTGAAACTAAAATGTTAATTAACTTCCGTAATTATTTCTTTTGTGAGTCCTGACATCCTTTCATGCTGAAACAGAGACGATGAAATTTAAATGGACATTTGAAAAATATTTCAGTCAAAACTGTGGGTTTAATATTTATTACAAGACCACTTCAAAAGTATCTATAATTAAGCTTGAATTTTTTTTCGTACATTCCTGAAATAACAGTAACAATAAAATAAATATAAATAAGTAAATTAAAAAAAATTCCGCCTGCATTTTTCAGAACTTGGGAACTCGGGAACTTTTGGGAAAGCGAAATTATTTTCATGTTTCAAAAATTCAGAACAAGTTTAAGAGACCTTGCAGAGTCATTAGAGTTTTTGATGCAGGAAGACGTGAAAAATGAGCGGTGCCATCGCCGGGACTCGAACCCTGGACCTCATGATTACGCGTAAAATATGCTTCCAATTACACCAGGAAGGCATGCGGAAAGGAAGGAGAAAATACCTTATAAACTCTGCCCTTCAAAGAGCGACTGGGGATTAGGGGACCCAGTCTCCAAATCCTGGTGGTAAAGAATCATCATCCACACCCTTTTTAATTCGGGCGCCACTGTAGATTTATTAGGATTTATTAGGACTGGGAATTAAGAGGTCAAATCGCCGAATCCTGGGGGGAACAAATTATCGTCCATCACCTTTTAGTTCGGGCGCCAGTGTCCGGTCATTAGGTTTTTTTGAAACAAGAAACGTGAATAATGTGCAGTGCCCTCTCCGGAACTCGAACCCTGAACTTCTCGAATTCTCTCTCTTCGAGTATATTTCTAATCACACCCCGAAGACATGCGGAAAGGAGGGAGGGAGAAAATGCTTTATAACATGATTAAGATTCAGTTTTTTTTCGAGGGAGGGAATGTATGCTAAAAAGAAATAATGAGGTTATTTATAATAATAATAATAATAAGTACTGGTATTCTTGTTTTGAGTTACATGATTATTTCTTTTAACATAATTTTTCATTACCACTATTACTATCACTTCTAAGAGGCGTTACTGTTTTCAGTTAATATAAAATCACGCCCTGAAAAATAAAGTCCGTAGACATGATTATGTCTCTGGGAAGCAACATCTATCATCCACACAACATGGCCAACCCAACATGAAAACCAATGTGTAGCCACGCAACATGGTAAGACCTTTATTTAGCTTGCACGCTCACTAAAAAGTTTAATTCATCATAAACAAATTTAATATAATACGTTGTTTATCTCATATGATGATGAACGAGTCTTGTATGAATGAAACCGAATCTCAGACTGTTGCCGCTTCTCAAAGCATAATATCTTAAATTTTTCTTCCAGATTTCATCAGGCTATTACTGGTCAACAAATTGAATAATTTAAAACAATAATACGCTTCTTTAAAACTGAAATTTCTACTTTACTTTAAAAAATGTATCTAACTGATATCAATGAAAAAACATGAATTTATATATATATATATATATATATATATATATATGAATTTATATATATATATATATGTTGTATGAACTTAAATAAAGAAATATTGATTATATTATCTCCTAAGATTAATTTTAGTAGAATTATCTAAAAATAGTGAATCCATAGTTTATATATAATTAAAGAAAAGAGAACAAACTATAAAAGACTTATGTAGTCAAAAACTTTGCGCACTCAGCTGCAAAATTTAGAATAAAGTTAAAAGAAAATTCCTAGTTCTTACGCCAAAAAGTTGCTTAGATACTGTGGTTCCGTTGACAATATTAACATAAGTAAAAAAAGTGCAATGAAATGTGTAAATATAAAAGATTAAATAAACAATATATATATATATATATATATATGTATTTTTTGCCATTACTAGTTTCCAACACTGAGTATTTTACTATGTTTTTTTTTTTTTTTTTTTTCCCTCCCCTCGTGTAGCATATTTCTCACCCTTCAATGACATTGTTTTTTAAAAACGTGTTGAACTTTTTGGAGCCACAGCTCCTGGTAACATTTAGGCGAGCTTTCTACTATTTCTAATTTACTTATTTTGCAGCATATTGCGCAAAATGTTTTCTAGACCAAATTGGTCATACAGTATTGTACTAATTACCTTGCTTGTTTATATATATATATATTACTTTTCAAAATTTTTTATTCTAAAAATAATACTTATTTTTATTATTATTTTCTGACTTACTCATTGAAAGAGAATTATTGGTAGAACACACACTCACGTACTATATATATATATTTATGTATAATTAAATCATTAAAAGAAATTAGCTCCTAGAAAAAAGAAGAATATAACGTATTGTATATCCCTTTAAAAAATTTTTTTTTAACTTAATATGTTTAAATATGATGGTTTAGTTTTTTTTATCTGATTTGTATATCGCTTTCGCTCTGTATTATTTCAGCAGATTTATTACTTATAAAAACTGATAAATAACAGATAAGTAGAGTTAAGTCTGAAAGAAAGAGGTGCTTATTTTCGACGAAATTTAGTCCATGATAACAAGTAAGTGGTGAATTCTATCAGTATATCTTAAAGTATACATCTTAAATAATTTATTAACTTTACCAAAACTTAACATACTTATTTTTCAAGATATTGTAAATCTGAAATGCTCATCCCCCAATTTAGAGCGTTTGTCTCATTTTCATTTATTTGTATCTGCGGAAAAAGTCATTCCACTTGCGTAAAGTTACCATTCGAAGAACTGCCAATTAAATTACTTTTAAAAATGAAAACTCTAATTCCATGCGAATGTGTTTTTGAGATACTTTTAAAGCATGCGTCTCCATGAGATTCTTCTTAGCATACCTTAATCAACAGCTGAACGCCTGTTAACACTAATTGGTACAGTTCATCTCAAGAGATAAATACCTCAGACGTCTCAGCGAAAGACTTGGCAAGTTTCTTCCCCCTCTCTGTTCTCTACTTTCTTCTGATTGGATGATGTTAGTTTACGCCGGCACCTGCCCGATCAGTGCTTCAGTCTTAGCTTAGGCTGTCGTTTCGATGGTAGGGTAGTTCGCAGGATGCGATGCGCACTGTATCCACGTGGAACGGATTAGCGGGTAACTTGACAGGGTCATCTAATGACCGTAGCGACAGGTAGGATATTTTGTTGTTTGCGCGGGCCCCGTGATAAATGCCATTAGCGGCAGAAATCACACAAACTCGTGTCCTTAAATAATATATAATATATATAATATATATATATATATATATATTATAGTTCTTTACCTTAAATCAAAATTAAATTATTTCAGCAACAGTCGTAGTATAACAAATCCGTATACAAAATAAGATATAACAAGACACAGAATTCCTAAATTCAATATTTTTCCCCCCAGTATATGGGCCTTCAAATTAATACGATTTTATATTAATATTAAGTGGACGCAAGAAAAGCCCGCTTTCTAAATCAAGGGAATAAGACTCGATTCATTCATAGACTAGTGTTAATTTTAAAGAATTCTACATATTTCGACAGAATATACGATACAGGGACAGAATATACGATACTTTTTCCCTGTGAAATTATTCAAATTATTTTTTCGCTAAAGTTAATTAATGCTAGTCTAAGATATAATTTTGCCCTGTCTTATACAAATTACTAGTATTAAAATTTCCCTATTCATTTCTTGAAAAATACTTTACAAGCAGACCGTTTGCTTATGTAAGCAATCTGAACTCATTACATTTCGCATACTTGATTTGTTTTTCTTAGTTAAATATTTAAAGGTTTTTATAAGAGTTTCTCTTTTATAAAAATGTAACTACGTAAATACTCGTATATAACGACGAACTTATTTTTTTCCTTGGTATATTCATATGGCTTACTTGCATTAATATTCAGATGATTCTATTATATTTGTTTATATACGTTGTAATAATATGATGCTTGTGTGATTTAGTTTAAACCCGCAGTTATGAAATATTTTATAATTAAACCAAAAGTAGACAGTTTCTGGGGTTTTGTAATATAGAGAAGCCTTGAATTAAAAATAAATTGTACTTCTTCGTTTAGCATATAGATTAAGTACCTAAGCATGTATTATGAAAAACTTAATGCAGCTTAAATTTTCTTTTCATGGTATAAGCATATATGAATTCATAACTGTAAAGTTAAAAGATACTGACGTATGATGCGGATATTGCAAAATGTCTTTCGAAATTAAAATAATTAAAAAGTTAATTTGAAAGTCATTAAGAAATATGTTGAAAAAAACTAGATTATTATAAAACAATTAATTAAAAATTCAATAATTATTGAACTAAAATGGAATTATTTAGAAATTTTTAAATTTGTATCCATTTCCTTTCTTTAGACACGTTCAGTCGTATTTAATATCTAACTAATATATTTAAATTTATATTTTAAAATTATATTCGCAGTTAAACAGGCAAAGTGTTCCTATTCGACAAAAGATCATGTAGACGTTTGAAAAGGGCAGCCTCGCATTTCGATCCGCGGCCTTACAAGCTTCTTAGGCTGAAATCTCGGTTAAAGTAAGGAGTTAATAATGGCACAAACACCAACAAAATTAAGTACCTTCAAGGAACATGAGTTTCGTTCATCGATCTTTTATTTGGGCGGAACATGTCCAGCCTCGGAATGATAAGGAATTATATGACGTCTCTATGTGAGAGAATATTCAGTTACATTATAAGCCTGTTTTATTAGTGGACAACGTTAGTTGTAATGGATAAGAATCGAGTTCTAATTAAAGCAAAGTCCTTAGGGAATTTATAAACTAAATTCTTTGAGTTAATTTCTTGCCGAATAACTTATATGATTTTAAATAGCTGTATTTGTTTAAAATTTAAAATAAACTTAGTTTCGAAACAATGATGCTTATATTCAATCGCAGTTTTTTTATCTCAAATTTTATAAATTCGTAGCATTTTATCATGACAACGGAAATACTTAACTTTATAAATCCAAATGAATCATAATATCAAGATTTTATCTTTTAAGACTTTAAATTTTTTTCGTTGAGGAGATTATGCTAATGAATAAACGTGACATAATTTACTCGCTGTTGACTCATAGATCAAAGTGACATACTGCCATAATGTGCTTAAGAGGGGAATATTAGACTAGCACAGATTTTTGTGTAAAACTATATGAATTTCTAGGATGCTGGCATAGAGGTGACTGTTCTTCAGGAGCAAAAAATTCGTCAATTTTTTTTTGTAATTTAGAAATAAAAATATTGCAAATAAATATTTAATTTCTTAGACTATTCCAAACTGTGTCAGTTTTTAATACGCTGGAACGTTTAAATTCGTAAACAATTTATCAGAAAATTTCAACTATTTGTTACAGGAAAAACTATAAGATGAAGATTTTGGATATTTGGGATCAAGGTTATTAGTTACTCACACGAAAAGTAAGACGGCAAGGAATTAACGTATTTCCACGTGTGTGCTTTTCCTTACAAACGTGAAGTGTAAGCTGTACGTTCGTAGTGTAAAAGCGATAGCACGTCTACATACCAACAGGATGGTTCATGATTCGAATACCGCAGAGGGCACACTTCATTTTCCACGTTTCTCGGCGGCAGGGAAAAAAACAAAAACAATATCACTACTGTGACGCCTAACTAAAATATAGTGGACTATATTTTGTCACCATCTAAATTTGGTTGACTGGATTTTATACCTTTCTTTGGTTACCGTTTAAGTGGGAAATCCCATTTCCCATGTGCGTTTTTATGAACACGCCTAGCTAGCAGTTGGAAGACCTGTTGTTCGAATCTCGACGAGGGTGTAGTTGATTTCTCGCTTTTCTCGGCTAGGGAAAAAATGCTATTATTCTATAAATATAATGAGATAGAAAAGTATACAGATAAACATAATAAGATAACTATAATAAGTATTGGGAACATAAAGTTATAATGAACTGAATATAATAAATACTGGGAACACAAAGTTATAATGAACTGAATATAATAAGTACTGGGAACACGAAGTTGTAATGAACTGTAACACAATGTTATACAGTTCATTATAACATTGTGTTCCCAGTACTTATTATAGTTATCTCATTATGTTCATGTGTATACTAATTATGTTTATCTGTTACTTTTGTTACACTAAAACAGGTGTTCAATTTAATTTGTGAATTTCAAATTGTATAGAGACTATATTGTAATCTATTTATGTCCTAAAGGGTTATTTTTAATAAATACTGAATGCGGGGCGTACAGTGGGATTGCACGATGTACCATAATAGGTAAACTCTAGATCAGGAGTTCTCAACTGGTGGTATGCAAGAGAAAAATAGGTGGTACGCAAAGATGCAAAGTATTTTTTCTTTAACACTCGTAAATTTATAAGATGAGCTTTGTTCAAGAGTGGTGATAGTAGTAGTACTTTTTAGTGGTGGTACTAAATGTTTTCAATTTTTGTTTAGATGTTACGCGTTAGTGAAATGTTTGAGAACCGCTGCTCTAGATCATTCGGAAAGCTTCAGTTGCCTATTTCCTCAAAATTTCTTTGTAAGTTCTAATAAAGCTTGAATTTATTTAAAGAGATATTTAGTATGGGAAGGCATTACCAACTGACCTATGGCACATCGTGTCCCTCATACTTTTACCTGTACCTATTATTCTATAAAATTTGTAAACTTATTATTCTAAATATTTGTAAACCTTTTTTTAAAAAAAAAGTTTAGGCTAAATAACGAAAAACTTTAGTAGAAAATTATCGGCCCCATGATTTATTGAATCTTATGCAAAAGAGTGAGAGATGAGAAAGAAATAGAAGAAAATGATACATATGAAATAAGATATACATATAATTTTTTATGATATTTTAACGCATTTTCTTTCCAAGACTGGTAAAGTATCATTTGGGGGCTCCTTAATTTGTACCACGGACTTATGCAAACAATATGGTTCTTATTTCGAAAGCATTCAATTTGCATCCCGAAACAGCTCTTAGAAACATATTTTTATTTATTATTATTTTCAATTTATTTTTCTGTTTCTATTGTGTCAGCTATTTCTTATATAATTTATTCACAACTGCACCAAAACAGTTGACAAGAATCTTATGGCAACAAATCCACTTTGTCCGTAGGTTTGTCTAAGAAATATCTTACAGTTAATTAAAAAAATCTCTGAGATGAAAATAAATGCCGTTTTGCTTTTCGTATAAAGGTTTAAACAGTTTCCTGTGAAACTATATTTTATATTTCACGGGGATTTTCCAGACAAATTTCCTTGGGAATTTAATTTTTTTCTACAACAGAAATATAGCCGTCAAAATGTTTGTGGTTTATTTCCTTTCAGAAAGGCCTTTTTAAAATGTTCTTAAGTAAGCAAGAAGAAACAGTAAACATACATTCACAACCGACGCATGTGTTACTTGGTGTCACCTCACAGCAAGTACAATCCCCTAACGAAAGTGGGTGTGCTATGCAGCTTTACTGTTATGAACCAGACATCCGTGATTTTAGCGACAACTGCTGCTAAGGAAGCAAACATACCTTCCACACTCCTCGATAAATTCAATATGACACCTAGAAATACCTGTCAGAGCGTTCACAGTATTTATTCTTTTAAAGTATGCGTTGTGTTAAACTAAAATCAATTATTTCCCGAAAATATATATTTAATCGTGTTCATAAAAATTCATTTAAATACAATGATTGCTTAAAATAAGGTAAAAAATAATAACTTAATTACTGCAGAATGTTCCAGGGGTTTTTAATACCTGTTTGCTTGCAAAACGGGAATGGAAATCAAGCATTTCATTTCTGATGGTTGATTCTGGGTATCACTTCGAAATCAAAAAATAAACTTACGAGATAAACAGAAATTATACGAGATAAACAGAAATTATACGAGATAAACAGAAATTACTTTCGTTAATATAGTTACAAAGAGCACATTTTCATTTTTCAGAAGTATTTAAAATAATTTTTAAGCACATGTGCAAGTGTGCAAGAAAATCGACTCATTTCTCAAAAATGTGTGGTTGACTTCTACATTATTTATTTGATTTGGATTTTTAGTGCTACGTTATAAACTCTTGCTTTTAAATTTCTTAAGTCCAATGACATTAATTTTTCACTGACAAGGAAAGGAAAATCGTAACAT